TATATATAAAGGGGTACGAAAAGAGGATTACTACGCTTACTCCTAGTATTAAAGCGAATCTTCTATAATATCGCGATATATTTTATAATAGACCTACTACCTACCCGTAAGGGTAAGTATAAATACCTATAGGTAATTACTAACCGGCTCTTAAAATCGGTAATACTAAAAGCGATAGATACTATAGATACTAAAGCCTATACTAAACGGTTTTTACTATACTATTATAGGTTCTACGGAATACCGAAGTCTATCGTTAGCGATAAAGGGTTAAACTAGACTAGCCACTTTTAGAGATACTTTTATAAACTCGCGGGTATTAAATAGCGACTAAGTACCGTATACTACCCTTAAACGGATAAAGGTCCTGAACGTATTAACTAGGAGGTCTAAGCCTACTTACGAGTATATACCTATTATACCTAAGATAATTAGAATACGCTACTACCGGTAGCGTAGCTAGCTTTAAATAATAAGGTAAACTCGATAATCTAAATAAGCCTATTCTTCCTATAACACGGGTATTACGCGAACCCTCTATAAGTTAATAAGACTATACCGACCGATAAGCGCGAGGCTTCCGCGCAGGACTTACTAAGTCGCTTTAAGGAAGCTACCCAGTTCGTTTAAGCCGCGATAGCCACTATATAACTATACTAGGAGGAGTTAGTAAACCGTCGGCGCTACCCTGCCAAGAGGTTCGAAAAGGATAACTTATATAGCTAGATATCGGTAACTACTCTTCGCTACGGCCCTCGAAAAAACTTACTTAGCTTTACTATAAATATAAAGTCACGAAGGTCGTTAACTCCTATATCGTAGAACTAAACGTCCCCTTATAGATCTATAACAGTTTTTATATAGATGTTTTACGGCGAGCCGACTATAACCCCTTACTAGGGTAAGCGATAATAGACCCCTAACTACTACCTATCCGTGAAAGGCTAGATAGGGAGGAGGAATAAGTGGTAAAAGAAATCCTTTACGCCCGTACCTGAAGGTAAGGTTATAGTAGGGTCCACGAGGTACTAGTATAATAGGAGGGCTATATAGAACTAATATAGGAACGGCTTAAAAGCCTATAGGAGATATAAGCGCTGAACGAATTCGAGAAGAAGTATAGCCCGGTATAGTTAAATAATAGGCCTTTATCATAATACACGAAAAAGATACAGGCGGGAAAGAAGGCTAACCCGGCGACGAGGAGGATAGAAACTAAGAGCGAAGTTATATTAGGGGTATACCCCCACGCCACTTAACTTAAGAGTAGGAAAGACTAAGTAAAATACTAAAAAGCTACTAAAATAACCTAAATAATATAAATAACCTACTCCCCTATAATCTTACCCTCTTCTAGCTCCTCCTCTTATAAGGCTATACTATCCTTAGCGGCACCCACCTACGACTCCTCCTAAGGAGGAGCCGAGGCGAGTATAGCCTTAGGAATAGCCCCCGGATTATCACCCGCGGTAAAGAGGGTCACGGGCATATAATACTTATATACGCGGCGTATAGAGTAAAAGAGGTTATAAACCTCTTACGATATTATAGTAATATCGTTATTCTTATGCTCTAGTTTTTACGATACTTCCTTAAGCGTCTTATCTATACTATATATAGAGGTAGCGATATTATCGAGGGCTTATACTATACTTACCTAGAACTCGGTAATAGCGGATAGGGCGGTAGCGGGCGGCGGGGCGATAGCGGTAGGCGGCGCGTGTCGCACGTTAAATAGCACTTGGATGATTAACTTAGTAGAGCAGAAATCTCGTGTGTGTGTATTATGGTAAGTTACATCTATATAAGTCTCTTATGCCCTTAATTTAGGTGGTAAAGACTCTGTTATAGGTACTATGTTATTTGGATCCTATCCGGTCTTTTCCGGTATCCGCCCCTGTTATATCCTAGTACCTAAGGTCCAAAGCCCTTAGCCAGGGAGTAGATCCCCCCTGGATCCCCTATAGACCACGTCGTGGTCCTGCCTATACGATATACCCCCTTAGTTAAGGTGGGTCTTCCTAGGTTAACCAACTAATCAAAGGCTTCGGTTTAAACTAAACGCTCTTAGCTTTTCTATCGTAAAATTAATAGTTAAGGGAAAAGACGCCCTCGTAAAAAGGATCTAAATCTGCCCTATTTAACCGTTTAATTCAATTCTGTCTTAATTAGTTCCTCGATCCTAATTAGCCGGATCTACTTAATCGGATCTATATCTATCGGATCTACTACGCCCTCAGAGGCCTTCGTAGTCGCTACGGCCGTGGCTTTAGCGCGTTTAATCTCTTCGTGTAGCCGTTTAAACCACTCGATATAATCCTTTTAATCCGTTAAATTAAGCTATTACTATAATCTTTTAATTCCCGCCTCCGGTAATACCTTCGTTAAACCGTCCGCGATTATCTCCTTCGTGTTAACGTACGTAACCTTAAAGAGACCTTATTATACTGACTAGCGCGCCTACTAGTTATATATATCGACGTGCCATAGCCTTATCCGTAAGCGTTATGCCTTCTTATTAACGAGGTTAATAGTCTATTAATTATCGTAGTATAGGTATAGTTACTATTAGTCTAATCGAAGCTCTAAATCCCTTAATATCCGGCTAACGAATAACGTTTTTTTAGCGGCCTCTATAAAAGCGAGTAGTTCCAATTCTATTAACGATATCGTGACTATTAGTTACTTACCCGCCTTCTAGTTAACGGTACCGCCGAAGAGCTTTATCGTATATCCTTACGAACTCTTACGGTCTGGATTATCCCTAAAGGACGCGTCGCTTATAGTTAGGAAGAGCCTATCCCCGCTGAATTCTAGGTAATAGTATCTTATATAGTATAGTAATATTAGTATTTATTAAGCCCTTTTAAGATAGTTAGAGGAGGGATTAATATTATATTAGGATAGCTTTAAATAGGCGAACGCGATATCGGGTCTTATCACGATAGCGGTGTATAGGATAGAACCGATTATACCCTAGTACTAGCGGACCTCGGGAATCGACGCGCGGGTGCTATCGCGGAGTATTACCAGCTCTATCGATAATAGGACCTTTAATAGTTTTCGGCAGAGTATATCTATATAGTTTTTAACCGTAATGTTCTCTACGTAGGAGGATTATAATAGCTATAGCCTATAAGTAGCTCTATCTCTTAGGACCTTAATTCCTAGAAACTAGCGGATTTCTTCGCATCCTAATAACTTATAGCTTCGCTTAAGGGCGGCCTTAAAATTATTAGCGTTAGTCTTATAGTCTTTATAGTATATAAATCCGATATCGTCGATGTAGAAGAATAGAATTAAACCGTCACGGATTATAATATAGGGGTTATTAGGTATAGCCGTGAATCCTATTCTCTATAGCGTGCCGCTAAATTCCTCTTACTATAGTAGTGGCAATACCCTTAAGCCGAAAAGGGCTTTCTGTAATAGTAGTACCTTACCTAGCACTTTATAGCCTTACAGTATCTTTATAAATACCTCTCCTTTAAGGCTAGCTTTAATAAATGTGTTAATAGCGTCGAACTATCTTATCTCTAGTGCTACGCCACATATGCTAGCCTGCCAGTACGTGGAGACGGCACGGAGTGCCACAGTTTATTTCTAGCTTAGTCAGATAGGTAGCTTAGTCAGGAGACTGCTGAGGTATATCTATTATACCTCTGCAGGCAAGCTCGTATCCTGGCAAAGTAGGGTTGAAAAATAATCATTAGCGAGATAGAGGTGTTGATGTTAGCGTATATGATTCCTATATGGGTGGTGCAGGGGCGGGCTAGAGAAACTAGGGAAGTGTGACTGTTTAAGGGGCAGTTTATCGACTGAATAGTGGCCTTCGATTAGTTAGGTTCAAAACGAGGGCTATCCGACCGGCTAATATCTAACGCCTGTGTCTCTGGACGCCCTGCGGGTTAATGGGTTAATCTAGCTAAGGGTTAAGGCTATTCTGGCGAGAGTGGGCACGGCTTATTAGCTGGCTGCGGTAGATATTAAGTCTGCGAAGCACTATACGAAGCGTTACCTTAGCTGCCTAGTTATCGGTTACCTAAGTGGAAGGAAAAGCTGGGTTGGGATCCGTGGAGTTACGGTTCCTCCTATTAGTTCTTATAGGTTATAACGTCTATCGTTATTATTCTACGAGTACCCGTTTCTGTAGGAGTAAGGCTTCCTGCTCGATAATAGCGATGGCTCCCGGTAGTAGATTCTGTGCCTAAGTCTAGAGTGGGTTAGTCTTAATAAAATTATAGACTTAAAAATCTCCTTTTCTGCTATGGATAATAGTTCTATCTAGGAAAGGGCAATAACGTGGAAAGAAAAGATAGTCCAGTAAAACTACAAGACTATAGTAGTCGTGTCCGGTGGGAATAAAACTTAAAAACTAATAGAAGTGGCGCTTACACGTAGGAAACTGCTAGCGAGGAAGGTATAAGTTAATTCGATAACGTTAACGAAAAGAGGGGTAATAAGCGGTAGTCGAAAAGTGCGAAGACGGTGAGAGTGCGAAAAATCCGTGGTCTGCGTAGGAAAAAACGTTCTAAAGGGCGTTATTAGTCGAGACGAATAACGGGTTTATAGTTAGGTGTAAGATAGAGAAGGGAAAAGACGCTAGAGGAAGAAAACTACGGAACGCTGGAGAGAAACTATAGGACTTAGCTATCTCGGCGTACTACCGGGTTATATTATATTAATTAGAGGCTCCGCTAGGGTTAACGGATATAACCGATTATCGAGTTTGCTAATAGGAGGCGTTCGCGTTTCAGGAATTAGCAGATTAAATAAAAGACAATAGGGTATGGTATAGCGATGATCGGAAGTAAATAGTTGCTACTATTTATTAGGCCGTAACTACGGCTATAGCGCGAAGCGTGTTAAGAAGATATAAGAACTGAAGATAGATTTAAGGAGAGGTCGTAAGCTCTACGAGCTTACCTGCAGAGGTATAATAGATATACCTTAGCAGTCTCCTGACTAAGCTACCTATCTGACTAAGCTAGAAACAAACTATGGCACTCCGTACCGTCTCCATGTACGAGCAGGCTAGCATATATGGCGTAGTATCTAGGTTAAATTAGGCGGCGATCGCTATTAGTATACGGAAAGACCGCGAGGCTAGTATTACGGCGTAATTGTCTTTAGTCTTTAACCGTTTTTATTAATCCCCTTAGACTATAAGGCGTGCCTTACACTTATGGACGGTGACCTCCTTATTAAATTTATAGGTATATACCCACCTATAAGCGAGGACCTATTACCTATTAGCCTAATTACTACCTACCTCCCGCTAATAGCCTATCTATTAGTACCCCTTAAGGTATTCCCCCTCAGCCTATAACCACCGCTCCCGTAATAGGTGGACGCGTATATCACGGTAGTGGTTTAGTAGAGGCGGGAGATCCTCACGGGTTATATACGATAGCGATAGTAGCTAGGAGGTATAAGGGGAATCTATAACACCGACGTTATCGTTAATAGCTTACTTCCTCGCGCGTATTGGGTTTTAAGTCCTTCTAGTATTAAAGAACGCCTTCTAGGCGTTATTATTCTGCACCTTCTCGGTCTTATAGATACTTACGATAGATAGGCGCGCGGGTAATAGGCGCGTAGCCGACAGGCACCCCCTAAGGGTATCCCCGGTTATCCGTTAGTGGTTATCGTGTTCTTCCACCTTAACGCCCCTAACTACCGCTAACGCTATAAGGAACGCGCGCGCGGGATCTTCCGGGGATATTAGAGGCGTGGGAAACGGTTTAAACCTCGTAGTAGTAAACCGTAAAGTATCCGTAATAAGAGCGGTGGCCTCTCCTATAATAATAGCGGTAGTATAGTCTTCTCCTATAGTAATAGTAATATCCGTAGTAATAGCAGTAATATAGTCTATAGTAATAGTAACAGCCTCTCCCGTAATAATAACGGTAGTGTTAGAGTTACGAGGTTCTAAATCTATAGCCTAGGTATTAGGCTATAGATATAGAACCTCGTTTATAGTAATAGTAATAGCCTTTCTCGTAGTAATAATAACGGCCTCGCCTTTATCCGTAGTAATAGCGGTAGCGTTAGAGTCTTCCGACTTAAGATCTAATACGTCTACGGCTATACCCCTTAATAGTCGCCTATTCGCGGTCTTATTAGATTAAGTAATACGGATAGATTATAGGCGTTCCCCGATTTCCTTAGCGGAAGCTATAGCTTATAGCATTTTAATCCTACCGTCGAATATCTTATCTTCGTTAAAGACTATATCTCTTATAGTAATAGTATCCGTTAGGTATAGTAGCTAAATACGGAAGCTATTTAAGGATTAGTATCCGATATAATAACCGATCTATACCTTCGGTTCTAGCCTTCATAGGCGGTTCCTTTTAACTTAGGTATCGCGCGTTTTCATAAAGGTTTTATAGCCGTAAGCTCGTAGGTATATAAGGTTAGGTTAACGGCCGCGTAGGTCTTTATATAGCGTTCGCTAGTCGTTAATATATTATAGCGTCCTATTATATAGATACACAGTAGTCTTAAAAATCTTAGGCTAGATAAATATAGACAGATTAGCTTTAATCCTTATAGCCCTCGCCCTTCTTTTAACTATACCTTTAATCCGTTCTATAACGCTGTTTTAATCCTATAAATATAGTGCCGACGGCTAGCCTTTTACCCCCTTAGCAGCGAGGAAAGTAACGACTTCTAGGTACTAAAATATCTCGGAATCGGCTTATAGGATACATAGCCGGATATCGAATTAGGTCTTAAGTAGGGTAAAAACGTCTTTTAACGCGTATAGGATAAAGTCTTAGTCTCTTTGTTATAGGTAGTAATCCTATATATAACCTATATATACGTCTATAACGAATATAATAGACTTATAGAGGTCGCCTACTAACGGCTCCGCCTCTTTTAAATCGTGAAAATTAATATCTAGGGCCTCTCCGGGCTTTAACGGGTAAAAGGATAGTATCCGCCGGATCTATATAGGTATTTACGATTACCTATACGCGTTATAGTCCGTTATATAAGGTCCCTTTATCTTTACCCCCTAAGTAGCGTTAATAATCTTCGCGAGAGTATCGGTACTGTAGTAGCCGAGGCGTTCGTGCCACTATTATACCGTAGTCTTCTACGGTTACCGCGGTTATTGTGATCTCCCCTACGGGTTATCGCGCGGGTGCCTTACTAAGACCGTAAACACGGTAGCGGCCGTGGCTTCCGCGCGCTCGATTATATACTAGCCGTGGATATCTAGTAGCTTATAGATAGGCCGGTTATCGGCGGAGCTAATAATAATATCGTTTACGGTATCCTAGCAGTAACCTTATAGGCATAGCTAGCGTTCCGAGATAATATTAGTAATAAATTCCTTATAGTATACGATATTATAGAGGCGTAATAGCCTCTTCGTGCCCGATAAGAATTATATACGTAGCTTAATATCTCCGTATCCGAGGATAAGAGCCTCGTGAGTATCTACCTAAAAGGATAAGAATAAAGTATCCGTGGGTAGTCTAATAGCTATAAAACGGCCTTAATTATTAAAGATATACATTAACAATCCTAAATCTAGGATCGCGTAGTATAATAGCGCTCTAGCTTAGTTAATAGAAAGGGATACCCCTTATTCTTATTATAATCTTAATAGTATCGTTATACGATAACGCGCTACCCCCTAGGTTAGGTAGGCTCCTAGTCCCGTCGCGGTAATGGATAAGTCTTTATAAACTATTATAGTAGTAAGCGTAGTATTATAGAGTTAATCTTCCTAGACTTCCTTTATCTTATTAGCGGTGGCAGCTACTACTTCCCGCCTCTTCTATATCGTGGTATCTACGCGGCTTTTAAAACTATAGTTACGTATCTTCTTTTCCGTAACCTTTATAATATCCTCGCGGTCACGCTAGGTATAAGGGCGTATATCCGGCCTTATATACTAATAGGCGGCGGTAGTATAGGGGTTCTTATATATCTCGTAAAGCCTCCTCGTTACGGGAGGGATAGCCTTTACAGACGTATCGCTATAAGAACGCTTCTTATTATCTTTGTTATTAGTAGTATCCTTAGTATCGGGGAGGTTCCTAAGGGTATTAAAGGTACCTCTCCCGACTCTAGGCTTTATAGTAGAGGATTATAGGCTCTTTATATTACTAAGAACCGCCCGTAAAGCCTTTACGAAGTCGTTAATCGTTAGCTCGTTTTCCGTAATGTTATTATAGTTCTTTATTAGGTAGTTATTACTCTATTCCTAGGCGATAGGTCTAATAGCTTTTAACGCGTCTTCCGCCTAATAATCCGCGCTTAATAGCTCTAAAACGCCTATATATTTATAGTGCATTATCGCTATTTTCTAGCTTACTACCTAGGCGTCTATATTCTTAGGTATAGCCTTTATAGGCGTGGTGTATTATCGGTATATAACCAGGGCTTCCTTACGGAGGTCTATAGGTATTAGTCCTATATACGCGTATAGGAGAGTAATCTAGGCCCGTAGGTTATTTACGGTATTATCCTATAGCTAGGCTAGGAGGCTACGTAACGTAGTATAGACGGTCCCTTCGATATAGGAGCGTACCTTATTAAACTCCTTCTACTACGCGTTATAGTCTGCCTTTTCTTCGCGGTATACGCGGCGATCTTATAGGTAACGCGTACGTCTTTTTTTAAAGAGGTCGTTAATAGATATAGGCGTCCTGGTTAGTAGTTCTTTCGTTACAGCTATAGCCTTCCGGCGGGCGGCCGTTTTCTTCTTACCGGCGGGTATAGCCGCCGTGGTAGCGGCGGCGTCCGCGATATCCTTATCGCCCTCTAGCATAATAGTAGAAAATAGAGTAGCCGTGACGGTAATAGCTATAGCCTCCTCCGTGTTAGGGTCTATGGCGAGGGCCTCGTATTTACAGATATTAGGTGGCGTAGGCTTAAAAAATAAGTAGGCCTTAGCCTCCTCGTCGCTTAGCTTTAGATTAAGATAGTTTTCCTAGTAGGAGGCAGATTTACCGCGCACGGCGCGCTCCTATATTACCTAATCCCTCTAGTTAACAAGGGTAGTAGCGGCCGCCTTCTATTCACCGTTAGATATATTAGAAGATATCTTTAATAGTTTATCGTTTATCGGTTAGTTAATTAATAAGTAGGTTAATTAACCTCTTAAATACTCTAATTAGGTCGATCGTAGTTATTTAAGAGTGCTTATATAAATATAATTACTTCTTTATAATAGAATAGGGGAAGCCTTATTAATATCTATCGTTTAGGCGTTATAAACGGGGCTTATAACCATCGCACGTTAAATAGCACGTAGATAATTAACTTACTAGAGCAGAAATCTCGTGTGTATATATTATATTAAGTTATATCTATATAAGTCTTTTATACCCTTAATTTAGGTAGTGAAGACTCTATTATGGGTACTATATTATTTGGATCCTATCCGGTCTTTTCCGGTATCCGCCCCTGTTATATCCTGATGCCCAAGGTCCGAAGCCCTTAGTTAGGGAGTGGATCCCCCCTGGATCCCCTATGGACCACGTCGTGGTCCTGCCTATGCAATAGCGCAGCGGCGTGAATAAGGATAAGGGCGGCGATAGGAGCGGGAGCGGCGATAAGGGCGATAGCGATAGTAAAAGCAGGGGATTATAAGGGACTAGCGATATTCTTACCTAACTTAGCCTAGCTAAGGGCGACTTAAAAGCGGCCGTAAGTATCTTAGAACTAGCGGCGATTCTATATAGAAGAATTAGTAAAAAGGCTATTAAGCGAAGAGTAGGGGTAAACTTATATCCTTATTATCGGTATCCGTATTTATAGAATAAGTAGTATCTTATAGGGTATTAGCGGTATTATAGGCGGCGGGTAGGAGCTATATTACCCGTTAATCGTAGTCACCCCATGTATAATAGGTATACTTACCTCTAAATACTTATAAGTACGGCACGAATACTCGTGATACTTAGCATCGGCCCTGGCTATATTAGGGCCCGACTAGTAGTAATACTCGATACTATATTCTTACTTATACTACCGGGTAACGTACTACGTATAGGGGGTGAGTCGGTAAGGGCTTAGCGGGTTCTTAGGGGTATATCTTTTCTTAACGGGGGGGGGGTTAGGGTTTACTTATTATTAGTTACGGCTAACCTTATAACCCGTAGTAATAAGGGCCGTGAACTTATATCGTTATTACTATCGCCCTCGTAAAGGCGATATACAGTCGGATATCTACTAACAGTTAGCCACGGCACTAAACCATAAGCGAGGGGAGTACTAACTTAGTATAATAAGGATATAGGCGGCTTAAAAGATAAGCTATTACTCGGCGATATTCGTTATACTACTACGGGACCTATAAGGTATCTTAGGGCTACTTATAGTATAGAAAAACTAATTTAAAAAAAAAAAGAGAAAAACTTACCTAAAAAGAAGCTGTAGAAGGGGAAGAAAATAGGGACAAACGAAGATTAGTAGGAGGTTTATTTTACTACCCTTCCTACGCTATTCGGGTAGAAGGAACGACCCCCGATTATATATTCGGTAGGCACGTCGTTTATAATAAGCACGTATACCGGCGAGGGGCTCGTAACAGTACCACGATATACGAACTCCTTTATACTATTTTAGCCTTAAAAGGATCTTAGCTATTATGGATTACCTCCCTTCGAAGGAGCCTTTAATAGAATCGAATAAAGGACGCTATTTTTAGATTATACGCGAGGAGGTTAGAGTAATACGAGGTTATAACCGTGCGATTATAATATGACCGCGACCTCGCCTCCGGCGGGGGGGGGGATATTACGGGTAGTGACCCGCGGAATAGTCCCCGGTAGTAGCCAGGACTAAGAAGCACGGACCTCCTAGTAAGGCCCGTACGATTCTATATATACTTAGCCGTCTATACACCGCGCAGACATTTCCTTTCCTCCTTTCCTCTCTTAGTTCGAATAATCTATATTTTCGGCCTTAATACGTAAACAACTTTTGATAAGCCGTTATACCGGTTAGGTATTCGGGTTACTATTACTCGAGCGTTACTCGAAATAGGGGCTAGGGTATATAATAGCGTAGTGCCCCTTTTAGCTATAGTTATAGTAAGTGATAGAATCAAGGTATAATGACGGTCTAGGGCGTATAGGGTGGCTAGGAGTAAAGGCTAGTATAGGCGTAGGGGTAGACGTAGGGGTAAATATAGGGATACTAGTAAAACCGTAGGTGGCCAGGGCGTAGGGGTTATAACTGTGGGCACGTAAGCGGAAACAACGTTATTAGGTAGCGGATTAAAAGTCTATCCGAGCGACGGCTAGGCTATCGGTAACAGTCAAGGCTTTAGCCCTATAATAGGCCGGGGCTAGATCCTAGTAGTCCTTAGGAACCCCTATAGATACTATATAGTCCCGAATAGGTAGAAGGACTCTTATTAGTACTATCTAAATCCTTTATTAGTCCAGGAGCTCGCCCGGTAATTCTGACTCTAGGGCTTTTTACCGTTATATAAACTTAGCATAGGACTCTCCCTCTTTTTAGGATAAGATAGACTCGCTCTAGATCTATACCGCTACCTCCCTTAAACGGGTATCGTTATCGTTAACCTAACAGGATAGCTAGGCCTATAGGGCGGCCTAGGTAACCCTATTAGAGTCGCTATAGTACTTATATCGTAGTTTAGCCTACTAGCGTTCCTTAAGGTGGTGGGGGAGGTATAATATAACGAAGTAGTTCTTTATAGTATCTATGGGAAAGGATTAAGAATCCACGTCGAACCGCTAGTTAGTCTCCTAGATAAACGTGCAATACTTAGCCTAGGATATACTATCCTATTTTAGAAGGGGAAAATTTAACTTAGCCTATATAGCGGATCCGTGTATAGAGGATATCGTGGATATATCGTGGGTATATTAGGATCTTATTAGGGTTACGATAATACGATATTAAGGCTTAGCTATATAGTGGTAGGTAGTAGTGCTGATTAGGTTAGGATTAGTAACGGCGGCGGCGATAGCGGTAGTATCCGCCTTAAGCTTAGCGAGATAAGCGAGCTTACGCATATAGTGGTTTTACGCCTATCTCCACTTCACGCGTTCGTCTAGTTATTTCTCCGTTAGCGTAGCTAGGTTAACGTTTATATATAGGGGCAGGTTAGGATTATATAGGGGTCCTATTATAGTTATAGCCTTAGGAGGAACGGGAATGGTAATAGGGGTAATAGTAGTAATAGAGGTAATCCTAGCGATAGGAGTAGGTATAGGGGTAAGAATAGGTGCCGGTGCGGTGGTAGAGGTAGGAGTAGTATTAGTTCCCGGCGTGACCCTGTTATCTTCCTTATTCGTAGGGTCGTAGGCGTCTTCTATAAAGGCGGTCTTACTATCGTGGAGCTACCGCTTAAACTAACTAGTAGCCTTATTAAAATCGAAGGTAGGATCGTTTATTTTATAATAGTTAGATATATTAGTGACTCTCCTTAACGGTCTTCGCGCCCTTAAGGGTAGAGCGATTAAAATATTGAATAGATAGTCGTAAAGAGTAAAAAGTGTAACGGCTTGTCAAAAGTTGTTTACGTATTGAGGCCGAAAATATAGATTATTCGAACTAAGGAGGGAAAGGAGGAAGGGAAAAGCCTGCGCGGTGTGTAGGCGGCTAAGTACGTGTGGAATCGCACGGACCTCGCTCGCTAGGGGGTCCGTGCTTCTTAGTCCCGGCCACTGCCGGGGATTATTCTGCGGGCTATAGCCCGTAATATACCCCCCCCCGCCGGAGGCGAGGTCGCGGTCGTGTCGTGGTCGCACAGTTATAACCTCGTATTACCCTGGCCTCCCTACGTAGAATCTGAAAATAGCTTCCTTTATTCGGCTCTATTAAAGGCTTTTTCGAAAGGAGGTAATCCGTAGTAGCTAAGATCCTTTCACGGCTAAAATAGCATAAAGGAGCTCTTATATAGCGGTGCTATCGCGGGCCCCTCGCCGGCGTGCGTGCTCGTTATAAACGATATACCTACCGAATATATAACCGGGGGTTATTCCTTCCACCTAAAGAGTGTAGGAAGAGTAATAAAATAAACCTCCCACTATTCCTCGTTTTTCCCTATTTCTTCCCCCTCTATAGCTTCCTTTTAGGTAAGTTTTTCGGTTTTCTTTTTTTAATTAATTTTTCCACGCTATAAGTAGCCCTAAGATACTTCGTAGGTCCCGTGGCAGTATAACTAACGTCGCTAAGTAATAGCTTATAACTTAAGCCGCCTATATCCTCGTTACCGTAAGTTAGCACTCCCCTTACTCGTGGTTTAGTGCCGTAGCTAACCGTTAGTAGATATTAGACTTCGCCTTACCTAGTAAGCGCCCTTATAAGGGTAGTAGTGATAACGATATAATTTTATAGCCCCTATTACTATAGTTATAAGGTCGGCCGTAACTAACGATAAGTAGACCCTAAAACCCCCCCCCGCTAAGAAAAGACGTGCCCCTAAAAACCCCCTAAGTCCCCGCCGACTCACCCCCTACGCGTAGTACGCTACCCGGTAATATAAATAAGAATATAGTATCGAGTATTACTATTAGTCGGGCCCTAGCGCGGCTAGGGCTAATGCTAAATACTATAAATACTTATACTGTACTTATAAGTATTCCAAGGTAGGTATACCGGTTATACGTATAGTAACCGTAACTAATAAGCGATATAGCTCTCGCCTATTACCTATAACGCCGTTAACGCCCTTGTTACGGCCAACGGGCCCAACATACACCAACACGAAGGATGCACTGGCATAAAACGTACTGGGACGATCGGCGTACCAGAATATGACCAGAAGATAACTCAGGAAAAGGAATCACGTGCTCTGGCACGTGATCGTATACTGGTATATCGACACTGAGCGTACGGTGTGCATCGGTTGGATGCTCACCACCATAAAGTGATCACTGGAGGAGTGATCACTAGGACTCAGTGACCACGCGAGGGACGCTCACCCGGGGCAAGTAAGCACCACCAATATATATACCAGAGTATTCTAGGTCTTGCTTCTACTAGAGAATAAGATATCGATTAATCTAAGTCTTCACCTGGACTATTAGTCTACGCTTGACTCTACCTTGTGAAGAAGACGCCTAAGTCTTTACGACGTAACTACGACCAGACACTACGAACGATAGTTACTACTCTTTAGTTAACATCCTCTTCTTATTTTAAACTAAAACCTCGACGCCAGTCCCCTATCGTCCGCTATACTATAGAGGACCGGAAGCCGTCGTAATATTTTAATCGATCCTGTTCGGTAAGCTGACCTTGACAGCTAATAAGCAGTACGCCCGGAACAGAAGCTACTTCGCATCAGGAAGAAGAAGTCACTTCATCTGAAGAAGAATCATCGTCTAAAGAATCCAGTTCCTCCGACGAAGAAGAAGGACCAGAATAACCTCAACAAGACGACGAAGTAGCCAATAACCACTCTTCCAATATATCGAACAATAACCGTACCACGAACGCTACGAGCACTACGACGCCTACCACTACCACTAGAGGAAGCAACGACCTTCAGCAGATTCGCGACATAATCACTTAGCTTCAGGGGGAGAATACGACCCTAAGAGCTTAGCTGAACTATCCTGGAATCGGGGCTAAGTATAGATACCCTACACCCCCTAAGTATGACGGAACTCGAGGGCAGTTTTAGAGCTTTGTTACCTAGCTTAGAGGTTATCTCCTATTCTACTAGGACAGTATCCGTACGGAAGAAACTAAGGTACTCTGTGCCGCGGTACTCCTTACGGGAGACGCGCACGAATAGTTCGAATCTATCTATAGGGATTACCTGGAGAATATAGGAATAGAGATCCTAAGGAAGCCTAGGACCACGGCGATCTTCGAGAACTTCGACGTGTTCGTCGAAAGACTTAACGCTATCTTCGGCTAGCCCGACGAGGAATAAGTCGCGGCCGAACGACTAAGCCAGCTACGTTAGACTAAGTCAGCTATAGACTATACTACGAGATTCTAATAAATCTCGTCAAAGCTTAGCTACCCGGATAAGCCCCTTATAGATCGGTACTACTAAGGACTTAAGGAAGAAGTAAAGGACGAACTATACCGATTAGACCGACCTAAGACGTTTAGCGAATACACCGTAATAGTAATTCGTATTAATAACCGGAACTATAAACGACGCCGCTAGAAGAAGTATTAAACGAGCGTTCCGTTCTACACGGCTAATTCGGGAAAGAGATAACTATACCCACGCTAGTTCGGAAACACCTTATATAGGTATTATAGTAGACCTATAAAGCTCGATAATATTAACCGATAGAACGATAAACAGGGTAAAAAGGATATAACGAGAGTTAAGTGCTATAACTATAATAAGCCAGGTCACTACGCACGCGACTACTATAAGCCTAAAAAAGAATGACCGTAACGATAAGTAAATACGATCGGGAAAGAAAGACCCTAGAAGGAAATTAACGCTATTAGACACCTAGAGATTTATAGGGACGAAATACCACACGTTAACCTCTATTAGGTAACCTGCTACGATAACTATTATCTAGCACACTAATCAGGGAAAGACGGAGCTAGGTACTACCCTAAAAGACCCTAGAGGACACTCGCTATAGTATCTAGTAACGAGTACGATAACGACTATGGCCTTAAGATCCCTGACTGGGACGAGGACGAACCAGCTTTATAAACTATTACCGAAATCCTCTAGAAGTATGGGTGGACGGAAGAAGAAGCTGAGAGATAAAAGCAGATCTTAGAGATCATAGAGGAGCGAAAAGAGGAGGTCGCCAAAGAATAAGATTAGGAAACAGAATCCGAGGGTAACGACACGGACTTTTAGTACTAACACCTAGAAACAAACAACCTAGCCGAGGAGGAAGCTATTCAACTACGGATCCTTAACTAGCTCACGGAGGAACCCCTTAGATAAACCCACTAAGTTCGATTCGCTAAAATTAACCTCGATAACGCCTACCGTGGGACGTCTACGGCTACCAGCGAGGGATAGTAAGGAAAAATCCAATAAATAAGACAAGACCAAGATACTTAGAAGTCACGCTTTTAGACCCTTGATAAGCGCCTACGACGGGTAGAGTAACTCTTGACCTAGTATGGATTCGTGGATAAGGAAGTATCCCACGAATATCGGGCTAAACGGGCAAAAAACTAGGAGCATACTATTATAAGGAGTATACGAGAGGCACTTAATAGATATACTCTATAACGCGTAGCAGTACAGGGCACTGCTATATTAGGATACGACTCGGCGAACACGAGACTAGCGCACTATTAGATATAGGCGTAGCAGGAAACTTTATCTTACTAGTAGCCGTGAGAAAGTTCTCTATACTATAGGTCAGGAAACACCTAGGAGAGGAGTACGAGGTTACTCTATATACGGGGAAGAACCAGTCCCACGAAGAAGTCATTATTAACCAGGAGACTATACACCTTTAGGTTAAAATCCAGAATAAGACTAGAATAATAAAGTTCGATATATACGATATAGGTTATAAGGATATTATCCTTGGCGAACTATAGTTTAATAAATAGAATCCCGATATAGACTAGAAGCTTGGCTAGCTCCGGTGGAGATTAGAGAGTAAGCAGAAGACCACGAAGGAAACCTTACCCGATCCCGATATCCGTCAAAAACAGCAGAAAGACTTACCGACGAAGGAGCCTTAAGGAGACTTAGATAGCCGCCAGGAGTCAGGGACCCGGGCGAAGGAAGTATAAAAGACTTCGAGATAGCAGCGACGACACGATAACCGACGCGTAATAAATATCATCAAAGGAATCTACTAGATCGTCTAAGCAGAGAAAGGACTCACGGAAGGCGACCACGACAGACTCGCTAAGGTATTACCAGAGTACCGTAAATACAAAAAACTATTTACCGAAAACCTAGAGACCGGATTACTAAAACATCGACACTACGATCACGAGATACCCCTTAAGGAAGGGACACACCCGAAATTCTTCCTAATTTACGGGCTGAACCAGAAGGAGTCAGATACCTTAGAAGAATACCTCGAAGAGATACTAGTAAAAGGCTATATCCGAGCATTATAATCACTAGCAGGATACCCGATCCTGTTTATACTAAAGAAGAATAGCAAACTACGACTATATATCGACTATCGATAACTTAACGATATAACTATTAAGAACCGCTATCCGCTACCTCTTATCTTAGAAATACGAGATTAGCTGGTTAGAGTATAATGGTTTACGGCACTTGACTTAAAAGGAGCCTATAACTTAATCAGGGTTAAGGAAGGAGAAGAGTGGAAGATAGCGTTTCGGACGAAGCGAGGCTATTTCGAGTACCTTATCATGCCTTTTAGGTTAACGAATACGCCGGTATTATTCTAAACACTTATTAACGACGTCCTAAGGAAATATCTGGACTACTTTATTATAGTGTACCTGGATAATATCCTAATCTTCTCCAAGACACTCGAAGAACACCGATAACACGTTCACACGATCCTATAACTCCTATAAGACGCCGACCTATTAGTCGAACCAGAAAAAGTTTAATTCTACACGTAAGAAGTTAATTTTTTAGGCTATACGATACGACCTAACGAGATCTGTATAGATAAGGCGAAAGTCTAATACGTCTCTAAGTAGCTATAACCCTAGAACGTTCGCGATATTTAGTCCTTTCTCGGACTCGTAAACTACTATCGACGATTTATTAAGGACTATAGCAAGATTACTATCCCCTTAACTAAAGCAATAAAAAAGGGACTTAACTTCGAATAGAATGAAAGAATAGAGGAAGTATTCTAAGCTCTTAAAGGAAGGGTTACTAGCGAACCTATCTTAGTAATACTAGACCCCGATAAAGAATACGAACTCGAAACAGATATATCCGACTAGGCTCTGGGAGCATAACTCGGACAGCGCGACGTAGAAGGAAGACTATATCCTGTAGCCTTTATATCCAAGAAACTAAGCGGACCAGAACTCAACTATTAGATCCACGATAAAGAGCTAATAGCTATTATCGAAGCCTTTAAGGAATAGAGACCGTATCTGTTAGGAATAAGACACCCGGTATAAGTCTACACGGACTATAAGAACCTCGCGTAATTCACCACTACTAAGGTTCTTAATAAACGACAGATCCGATAGGCGGAATTCCTAGCCGAATTTAACTTCCATATTCAGTACGTGAAAGGGAGCGAAAATAGTCGCGCAGACGTACTCAGCCGACTAGGAACACCTGACGAATCACCCAAACCGTAAGCCATACTCCAATAGGAAGGAGGAGCTCTTACCCTGAAGAATAGAGAGGTAAACAGTATTAATCGGACGACTAAGGTTATGTTTAAAGAAGCACACGCCTCACCGATGCATGGACACCAAGGAGTTTATAAAATATACCACCGATTACGATAATAATACGGGTACACAGGAACCAAAGAACGAGTCAGGGACTTCGTTCGTAACTACGATATTTGCTAGAAAGCAAAGAGCAGCCGATATAAACCTTACGGACTACTAAAGCCACTACTAGTAGCAGACGGACTATGGAAATCGATTATAATAGACTTTATAACAGGATTTCCGGTATCCAAAGATCCAGTAACGGGGACCGCCTATAATAGTATATTCGTAATCGTCGACCGATTCACGAAATACACTCTTTATATTCTATATATTAAAAATACTATAGCGGAAGAACTAGTAAGTATCTTTATCGACCGCCTAATCAGGGATCACGGCGCACTAAACGAAATTATCACGGACAGAGATAAGCTCTTTACTAGTAACTTCTGGAAAGCAGTTATGAGTTAACTAGGAACGAAACATAAGTACTTAACAGCGTTTTACCCTATAACGGAAGGATAAACCGAAATCATGAATTAAGTCCTAGAATAGTACCTACGATACTACGTAGGGTACGAATAAGACAATTAGGTGCAATACCTGCCACTTACACAGTTCGTATATAATAGCTCGTTAAACGAGTTAATAAAGAAAACACTGTTCGAGGCAAATTACGGATACACCCTAATAGTATTTAGGAAACCTTTAGAAGGACCAGACGCACTAAGAGCGATAAAAATAGTTAAAAGTATGAAAAAATTATATAAAGAACTACGAACCGACCTGGAGATAGTCAGAACACGGATAAGCAGGTACGCGAATTAATTAAGGATTAAGGGACTAACCCTTTTAAGGGGGGACCGTGTCTACCTTATCCGCAAAAACATCAAAACATAACGACTAAGCGACAAATTAGATTTCAAAAAATTAGGACCATTCAAAATCCTAGAGAAAAAGTCAGATACGAACTACATTCTATCGCTACCTCCTATAATAAGGATACATAATAACTTTTATATCTCACTACTCGAACTAGCACCTATAAATACGAAGCTTACGTAAGACACGATCGTGGTAGATACTAGCGACGTGTACGAAGCAGAACGAATCCTCGATCATCGAGAGACGCTAGACAGCACCGAATATTTCATAAAGTGGAAAAACTACGACCACGGCGATAACACATAGGAGCCCAAAGATAACCTGATTAATTGCGAGCAA